TGGTTAAAAATAAAAAAACCTGGACGATTTGATATTATGTTCCTGACATTAATTGCTTGCTATGGGCTATGTATATGTATGAGTTACGAGTGTATGTTCACATCGAACAATATAGTAAAACAGGAAGTATAATGCATCAATTTAACCATAAAAAGTGAACAGAATTACTTGTATTTTGAGAAAAAGTGGAAATATTATTTTTATTTTTACTATTTACGGTGACGTAGTCACTTTAACTTTAACTGCGAGTGAGCTGTGATGTGTTTCTGTGAGTTGCGCAGATATGGCTATAGCGATAGTGTAAAGTGCATACCAATTATTACGCATAATGCATGATGTGCATTTGTTACTGGACGACGCCTGCCGTATCATTCTGACTGATGCTTTCAACATTGATTATTTATATACGGATATATACGTCAATAATGTTCAATGAGATTACGATATGTGAGTACTGTGTTGCTATACGCATCAGCAATCGTAAACTGACCCCGTTTATCTGGAAGCAAATCGACTTTAGTCAATAAAGTGTCACTAAATCGTAGCATTGCGCCTTCATCTAATATATATCGCCTTCTGTGCACACACCTCCTGCCTATAACAGGAGCTACCTGGGTGAAATCAGGGCTTTGTGAATGCTTTGTGCGCATGCAATCAATTACCGTCGCTTCGTTGGCAGATGTACACGGATTCTTGGGATTCTAGCGCACGAATGAACCGCGCGCGAAAGAACGAAGCTCAATTGATCATCCCGCTCCCTGTACACAGGCGCACCTCCGCTCTCGTAGCAAATAACGCAATACAACATGGCTGCACTGGCAACTATTTACTGTATATTACTAAATTATTTACTATTGAGTGCGTTCGGGTCCATCGATATATGTACCTATAAAACCTCGTGGCATTTTTGGTGCTGTCTATGAAACACTCTAAACAAGAACCGCGTGCATGTATTTTGTACGCCTCACCCGTGCACGTGTACCTCTAATGTTTAATAGATGTAAAAGAATGGGCATAACATTGCGAACACCGTAGGGTAACGGTTACCCGCGCCTAAACATCGAAGCACAATCCTGCTCGATTATTACTAAAAGTTATACCAGCGAGCGTGATACTTGGTAAAAAGCCTCGTGCTCTCAGGTTTGTTTGCACGACCTTGAGAAAACTGGCATTTTCCTTAAAAGATAACTTAGTACCTGCTGCACCCTCTAGTCAAGAGGGCTCTGCTACTGCTGTACCTATACATTAATCGTTAAATGATGGCCCGGGTTGAGCCCTTTTTTATGAAAACATGCCCCGGTAGTCTATTATAAAGACAACTCGGGGTTAATGGCTTAATGCTACGCCGAGACTGTCAGAAACCAGTTGCGGCGTTTGTAATGCGAAATACAATTTTAGTGGCTTGCGAATTGCACGGTATGAACCCGGGAGAGAGTTCAAGTCATTTTCATGTAAAAGCCCATTAGTTTTAAATCGCACCGAGTTTACGTGCGGGTATTATCGGAACTCGATCTCTCTCAACCACTCTCAACCCACAGCCAAACACAGTGCCAATATTTTGGTAGCTGAACATTATTCACGCATACGTCGTGCTTCCAGGATGTAGTGTTGTAATAACTAAAAGCAAAAAATATATCGCTACTATATTCACTTTCTTTCAGACAGCTCGAAATATTGTTTCTCTGACATAACCTGGTAAACCTGTCATAATCATGTACGAAAAACATGTGATGGGTATTTCATGAAAATTAATTAATCATTCAACTGCGACGTGTCTATACCGTGTGGCCAAGGACGCTATTTTTGCTACTAGTTTGCAAAATTGTGTGCAAATCCACTCAGGTTGAGGCACATAAGGTTGTAACTATTGTACCATAGGCATATGAGATTTATAGCGGGGTCCAGTTGCAAAAGCCATCGTCTAAACTAACGTATGTTCTATATATGTCAAAATACGGGTCAGTTTCGTTATTGGTGCTAGTTCTTATGGTCGAAGATACCCCGCAAAAGCAGACACCGAAGCAAATATATGGAAGAAATTAATGTGCAAATACTGTACAATAGTTGCTTTGAATAAAAGAATGAATAAAGCGATTCTATCCAGCCACTTTACACTTACTTGTGCCAATCATTTACAGTGGTGAATTAGTAGTGATCATCGTGACAATCAATGCAAACCTCAGCCTGCATCCCAGCATAGATTGAAAAATGGGGACAATTGATCGTCAAGTTAGAGCAAAATTTTGGGCTGTGTTAAAACGTACAGTATTAGGACTTACGATAAAGTGACGATTCATATGATAACGGTTTAGAACAATGCATTTCGTTTAGTACTTTTCTTGAGACCAATCGTTATTTTGGACGACTCCCATGTCACGGGCCGCAAAGATATTGAGACTTGACAACCATGCATAGTTTGAGAGATTCCCTCCTGGCATTCGTCAGGTTGGTGCACTCGTGTTTCAAATAAGAAATGCGTGCATCATTATTCAACAACGTGTCTCTCGCGGCGTTATTTCCCTGGATAGTGGCTGCTGTAACAGAGAAGATACTGCGCATTATATGGCCTATTGTGTGCAGGAATGTGTTTCCAAAATTAGTTGTTTCCCCTTACAGGACATTTACTCGTTCACACTAGGCGACTAACCTCCATCCATTCTCTTTGATATAAATACAGAGGTAAAATGGTGCAGACAGTCACATAATCCTGTGCCAATTCCGACAGTCTAGTTGAATTAGTCGTGGACAAGTTCATTGGTGTCTTCCCATTTCGCCATTTTTCCACTTCGCCATTTCCCATTTCGCCATTTCCCATTTCGCCATTTTCCCACTTCGCCATTTTCCCATTTCGCCATTTTCCCATTTCGCCATTTTCCCACTTCGCCAGTTTCCCATTTCGCCAATATTTTATGTTGCTTCCACCCCCTGCACGAAATTGATTCTTCCATTCTTAAAAAAAGAGTCATTTCTAGGGTTAGGGTTAGGGTTAGGGTTAGGGTTAGGGCTAGGGTTAGGGTTAGGGTTAGGGTGCCTGTACATGATCCATATGTTTTGATATGTACGATTTCGCCTTCTTGTTCTTCAAATAAATAGTTGACTTCATATCTAAAGATTCGTTATAATTTATTCATTACAGAGGCCTACTTTTAACCCACCTCGAACAAGGGGGTGGTCGGGGAGATAGGACGAAATGGCGGAATGGGAAACTGGCGAAACGGGAAACTGGCAAAATGGGAAACTGGCGAAGTGGGAAACTGGCGAAATGGGAAAATGGCAAAGTTGGAAATGGCGAAACGGGAAATGGCGAAATGGCAAATGGTGAAGTGGGAAAATGGCGAAATGGGAATAAACCAGTTCATTTGGCGCGTTTTGATGATTGATGTCTCTATCTAAGCTGTCCCAAATGACATGTCTCGAACTCTCTCGTCCGCTGACAAAATATGTATAGAGTATAGAGAATAATTTATATCGACAATGTTATTATGACATGTATCGAAGTTGTGTCCCATTCTAATATTTGTCTCGTGGCATATTTCACACCAGGGCGTCTGACGTTAACACACATGCCTCACGTCTCTTGACAAGTTAAAGCAGAGCTGGCAAGATCTCGATTGTCTATGCACTCATTACGTGAAGAGCATTTAGAACTTCATAGCAATGGAATTTAATTTAATGTTACGCGTGATACATGGAGACAACAGCGTCAATATCAAGTCAATATCATAGGCTATATAAAAGTATCATAGTATATGTGTGGGTGTGTGTGTGCGTGTGTGCGTGTGTGCGTGTGTGCGTGTGTGCGTGTATGCGTGTGTGCGTGTGCGTGTGCGTGCGCGTGCGTGTGTGTGTGTGTGTGCGCGCGCGCGCGTGTGTGTGTGTGTGTGTGTGTGTGTGTGTGTGTGTGTGTGTGTGTGTGTGTGTGTGTTTGTGTTTGTGAGTGTGTAGTATGTATGTATAAACAAAAATTTTGCAAAAATATAATAATAGACATTACAACACCAGAAATTATGAAACTGGACTTAAATATATCGTACCAGACACATATGGCACTGAATATAATCAGTGCTTCTACTGACAGGGTACGACATATTGGCACCATGTTACTTTACTTTATTATGTGTGTTACAGTGTGTATGCATTTTTTTCTTCAAAATTCACACGGCCTTGCTCATTTTTCTCCATGTGCATGAGGCGTATGTGTAGAATTGGCTGACAATTGGTTGTAGTTTCAAATATCACACCAGCTGTTGAATTCCTCCCGCACGAACAAAATACTGGAAGAGGTTGTCTGTGAAAAGGGGGCTTTTCGAGGCGAGGTTAGCGACCCGCAGCCGGACGTTCGCTATCACACGTAACTGCGCGATTCTTTCCACACATGCCACGTTGCCTGAGACCAGTTCATTTATATTTGATTCAGGTTTTACACGCGCGCAGACATCCCGTGTTATGAGCGTCAGGCGCGCGGCACATTCTCGTCTGCCATCCAGTTCTCCGCGTCTTGGATGATCTGGCCTAACCATCCTTTGCCAATAAAATGTCAGACGGTTTTCAAACGGATCCTAATTATTCGCTGTGAAACAGTACGTTATTCATTGGTTGGCGAAATGAATTACCACTTTCCAGGTGTCGCGTACATTCCGTGAACAGCCTAGGTAATCGTGGCGTGAAAATCAAACGAATATAGTATAACTCAAGGATTCTCTTTATACTCACTGGTCCTTATTGTTCTCCCAGTAAGACAGTACAGCACGTTCTCCTATACATATTTCGTACTACGCTACTTTCAGGAGTAAATAAAAACACTGTTTTTTTTCTACTCCTAATACGTACTTTTCTACAATACATCATGTGCATCAATTCCCAACTAACGTTAAACAGCACGTCTTACACATTTCGCTCGGTCAACGTCAGGCTCTATACTGACGCGGAAACGATAGCAGCTCGCGACGAAGCCGTATATGTTCATTGTAGTCATCAATGTATTTCCTCCTCCGTTGCAGTGGCTATGACCCATACATGAGACGCACTGACGTGTCACCGACGCCCCGGGCGGGGTACTACCACGACAGCTACGGCAGGACGTCACGCGGCGATGACGCGGCGTCCTCCAGAAGCCACGAGCCTTACAGGGAATCGCACTACAGGCGCGAGGAGCAGTACTCTGCCGACATGATGCCACAGCAGCGAGTCGCCAACGGCACTGGAACGACCGGCTACACCTCGTCAGGTGAGTGGTCGTTGAGGATGGGGGGTAGCGGGCTGGGCAGGAGAGGCGGTAGGGGAAGGGGAGGAGTTGGTCGGTAGTGGGATTGTGGATG